ATGTATACTGAGTCAAGGGAGGTCTGAGCCTGCATGTATACTGAGACAGGAGTGGTCTGAGCCCAGGGCTGGACTGGCCATCGGGCGTACCGGGCAATGCCCGAAGGGCCGATGCCCATATTTGGGCTGGTCTGTCTGCCTCATACAAAAAACATGTTTGTGAAAAGTGTAAATCCGTTGAGAAATGTTTGAGGGGAGCGCGCGTGTCCGCGGGGCACCTGCTGTATGTACTCGAACGGGATTCCACCACCTCAGCGGCGGCAGTGTTCCCGCATCCAGCGGCTCTGAGCTGGACGCAGGAGCCGCTCACCGGGAGCCGCTCACAACACAACACGGTGAGCGGGTAGCCGCAACGTGACCATATACCCAAGACCATAAACGCGCACAGGACCATGCATGTCTTTGCGTAATTTGTGCACCCAATAAATACACCGCTGCAGAAAACAGTCCGCGTCTCCCCTTTCCTCTAAATTAAAGCTCGGGTACCTACATTTTCCATTGCATTAAAAGTTCATGTTTGAGCCCAAAAGTAAAATGTTTTGAACAGATTAAACAGATTTAGAGCCAGCTAATGGCTGACAATATGCATTTCAGAAATGTTTACTAATTCTCATCCCTGTAACAAACAATATAGTATTGTCTGTGCCACCTCCCTCACTCTGAGACATGTTTATTACTCTGTTTAATGTAGACTATTGTACTTTATTTTATTGTTGAAACTGCAGACATCCTGGTCCTCTACAGTATTTGCTTCCCCATACTGTATAAACCAGGGGTCGGCAACCTTTAGTGCCCCTAAAGTGGCTCCTGGAGCCTTTTCAAAAATGTCTGAAAATGGAGTGTGAGGGCTATATTTTATTTCTAGTTTCAATGTGGTTTCTGTAGGAGGAAAAACATTCTTAACGTTGTTCAATGCTGCAAAAACTTGTATAAGTAATATTCAATTTTAACTGTGTGTGCGCATGGATCCCAAAGAGAGAGAGTCGAAAAGACTGGACTAAGAATAAGAATGAACATTTGCTTTCAGTCAATGAGGAAGGACTGCTTCATGTTTGCGATGTAATGAAACGTTTTGTTGCAACAGGAGGAAGAATGAAGCTTTAAACACGTTCACTGAAAGATTCATTCATCATAAAGTCAGAGCACCTATTTTCAGACTTCAAATACCTTCGTAAAGACGGTGAAAGAAAAGGCCATTAAGGACATTCAGCTCCAGCAAACTTCAGCCTGTGATGGATATGAACAGACAGTGATGCAGGTGAACTCGGAGCCAAAAGCAGATTTATTTACTGTATTTGTACAATTGCATGAAGGTTAAACTTAAAGCAGAGTTGTCATGTGGTGCGTCATTCTCTCCAGGACACGCTGCAATGAAAATACACATTTGATAATCATGAATGGTTTTTATGTGTTTGTAGCCTTTACTTTGTCATTTAGATATTAGGCTAATATAGCTAATGTAGCTAAGGTAGCTAATGTAGCTAATACAGCTTCAGCCCCTGTTACCTTCATGCAAGCCTTATACAACGCTGTTTTTTTTTTTTTGCGGCTCCAGACAGATGTCTTTAGTTTTTTTTGTCAAATATGGCTCCTTGAACATTTTGAGTTGCCTGGGCCGCTAAGAAGGAAAAAATGCCCGGGCCGGTTTTTTGTCCCAGTCCAGCCCTGTCTGAGCCTGCATGTATACTGAGACAAGAGAGGTCTGAGTCTGCATGTATACTGAGACAAGAGAGGTCTGAGTTTGCATGTATACTGAGACAAGAGTGATGTAAATTTGGATGGTCAAAATTTGCCTCTTTCATTTGAATATCTCATCACAGTTTTTGTATACCATAATGAGCTCTCAGATCTCAATATACACGTGGTAAGATTGCAGTAAGAGCCACTCTCTTTCACTTAGAATTTTTTTCTACACTCATCCACAAAGAATTTTCATCCACTCATGCAAATGAATAAAAATACATATTCAGAGTGAGAAGGCATTTGCAGTTTTTGACAAAAGCGGTTTAATCCAACTTTCGCGGTGTCCAGAGCAGAGCACTGTGATGAATGACCAGCTCAGCAATGCTTCCTTTCCTCTCAAGGTGCATGCAAACAAATTATTAATGGAGCAATTTACTCAGTTTAGCTCAAGACTGTCCACTAAATTCACTTCATAGCCCTGCGCCTGGACACAAAGTTCTGAACAAATTCTGCTTACTGGCCTGATGCAAGTTGATGATGAGATGACCAACCCAAGCAGCCATATCTGACTTCAAACGTGTTTTATGATCAATCAGTGTTTTTTTTGGGGGGGTTAAGTGTCAAAGAGTGTGTGGAATTTTATATCAAAAAGAACATATAGCTGTGTTTCATGTTGATTTTGTGTTTCTAGAAATGGTGACGTGAAGAATGATAATGTTGTTGGTGCATTGTAACTGTCTACATGTAACAATGTATGGTCTTTGATCTGAATTATTTGACTTATTGCTCTTGGCTTGGCCACTGCTATTATCTGTTATCCATGTGTAAGGAGAAAAGGTCCACTGTTGACCATGAATTGAACTCTTGAAAATAATGTATTTTTTGGTAAAGACAATGTGCAAGTGGTTTAAATATATAGGGACGTCCCGCGTGACGTCACACCATTTAGAGCAGCCACTTTGACTTGTAGAAATGCAAAACCGCCGGTGATACTACAGGTAGTAGCGAGATTTTCCTGTCAGGCCGGAGCAATTCTGTGCAGTTGGATGCGACCAGATACGTGATCAGACAAAAGGAATATCTTAATACCGGGTGCACGGAGGTTTTAGAATTATTTGTTCATGTTTTCATGAAAAAAATAAAAGTACAACAAGCTTTCAGTGCCTGTTACTACTGTGCAGAGAAGCTAGCCGATCTAGCCACTCTCAAACAAATACCAATCAATCAATAAACACCATTAAATGTTAATCAGAGAATACAGTATCCCTAACACAAATGCACGGAGGTTTTTAGAATTATTTGTTAACGTTTTCATGACGAAAATACTGTTTTAATGTAACAAAAAGCAATCGTGATAAACCCGGAAGTAACCATTAACATGAAATAAACCTTTTAGGACACATTTGAAGAGGATCTGAATATGCATTTAGGTTCGGTATATAAATGAGTTCCTCACCACTGATGTTCAGAATTCTTTGTTCAGTTTTCATGTAGTTCCAGAGAGTTTTTGAACTGGCTAGCTTAGCTCCTGCGGAGTCGGCGGACGTATACCGTCAAAATGGCTGACACGCGGCTATGGGTCACGTGACTGGGAGATCCCAATAGAAGACAGAGATGACAGAAGCTAAGTCAGGCCAGGCAAAAAATAGAGGAATATGTAATTTGGTCATTTGCCATTATTCCATCAGAATGTATTGGGAAACATTGTAACATGAAGCCGCAGGACTCCGTTTGGGAAGGACTGACATTTGCAGTAATCTTGTGCATGTAGACAGATAAAATGCAACGCCATCTTACAAAAGGACCATATCTTTATTGACACTCATAGACAACCATGGACATTTCTGTTCTCATTCGAGACCACAATAATTACTTTGCCAAACCACAATGTGAAAGTACAGACCATACATTCTGCCAGACAGAACCAAAATGTTCTCTTTTTACTTACAAATACGGATAGTGTTTGCTGTTCCAACTCCCAAATGATTAAAATAGCGTTCGACCTGGATATAAACCCCACAGGATTACTGTAGTTAGTCATAGCCCCTTTAGGTCGGTTGCTCCTGTTTTAGTGCATTTGCTTTTGTTTGTATAAAAGTTCTGCAAAAGGTCTATAAAGCCCAAAGCCACAACATTGTAGTGATTGTGTTTCAGTAAGCTGCCTGAAATGTGAACGCCCGACAGGCAGGCGCTCGATGATGATGTCATCAGGCAGAAAACAAGGGACATTTGTTGGGAGGAGGGAGAAGGCTACGTCATGAGCAAGACTGATCTCAATTGCTCTGTGAAAATGCCAAAACTGGTTTCCAGCTTGATTTTTGCTTCTTAAAGCAGCCCAAGAAACCATGACAAGGAACAGTTCTATTACTAGGGGTGTTATTATTTACTATAATATGTTTTTACTGATGACATCATTCACTCCTGACCAATCCAAGGGAAGAGAACAATGTGACATGAAGATTATCTAAATGTAAAACACTTTACTAGATCTATTCCCAAAATAATTTGAGTATCAATAAATAAATAAAATATGTGTTGTTTCTATTTGCTCAAGTATTTGTGACAAACCAAATATAAAAGTGAATGTACACACACTAGATACTGTATAGAGTGGGCATGTAAGCATGCTAGCATTTACAGACTTGTGTTGTCAACTTAAATATATAAGTCCATTTTTATATCTTTGATTGTAAGAATATAAATAAGTTATCTTCTTTGAAAGCTTGAGCTGAGTTTCGCAAATAAATAAAAATTACACACATTTGTTACAGATGATGGTGAAGTCTAGTCAGGCTGGTGCCACCGAGTGGCTCTGCTCAGTTTCATTTCACTCCAGCTACTAGGTCAGGCATCCGGGCTCCGAGAACCAGGAAGTACAGTCGGCCAATCAGCAAGCAGAGGTAAAGCCATGACATCACACTTAAGCGTCTGACGCTCGTTCAGCAAGCAGAAAAACGTTCGAGCGGTTAAAGCAAAAAAGTCCCCGCCTACAGTGGAGCGAACAAATCATACAGTAAGCTATTTCAGACAGTTTCCAGTTGATGCATCGGGGAAAGAGAGGTCCGTGCTGGGCTGATTTACAGTCGCCTTTGCCTGTGGAGGTTATGGATGGGAAGAGCAAAGCCGAGCAGAGCACCCAAGACCTCAGAATGACAAAACGTACAAACATCTTCTTTACAGCAGTGCACATTCAAGTTGCTGGGGGGAAAAAAACTGCTGTAGATAAATCCAGTCAGCGTGGTCTCCAAAGGCTGGATCTGCTACACCTTTTAGTTCAGCCGTTCTCATTGCTGTCCACTGGTCCCTTTGCGGCCTTTTCAGCAGTAAACCGACCAATAAATAAGGTTGAAAAAGATGTATGAGCCGGGGAATATCATCCTTGAGTACTTGTCGATGGCGTGAGTGTTCTGCATGATGTTGAGCGTGCGCATGCTTTTCTTCTTCTTGGTGTTGGTGGACTCACTGCTCACGGACAGATGCACCACCATATGTTCGGGTTTCTCTGGGACCTCGTGCATCTCCTCGTGGTCCATGTCGGGGCTCATGGGCTCCTCCGTGTAGCCCGCCAGGCTGTTGGTGTCCGCCTCGCTGTAGGTCCCGTCCAGCATGGTCATGGTGCGGGTCTGGGAGATGCCGCAAGTGCACGGTAAAGACTGTGGGGAGAGCAGAGGGGAGATGTTTAAATATGGGGAAAGTTTAAGTTTATTGAAGGAAAGCCTGTTCCAAGGGGTCCTAAACATAAATACAAACTTAAACATATAAATACATAACAGACCTGACACAGTTAGACCCACTGCCACACTCATCCTTCTTGAACTTTTTATACATACAAAACAGTTTACAGAGCATTAAGGATAAGAAAAGATAGTAATTACTTAAACACACATAATAATAATAATAACTTTTTTTTTTTTTAAAGATATGCTCCTTTGCACCCCACTCCTCCCCTCTGCAAAACTTAAACATTTAGAAAGAGACAAAGTAAAAAAAAGAACAAATGTAAAACCATTTACAATAATGACATTTGGATAATGGATCATTTAGAGAATAATAAATGCAAATAGAATGCCTCATATTCTATTTGCACATTGTTTGTCCCCTGAAAAAGGCAAAAGGGATCTGTAAGGTATTTGGAGACATGCCATACATACTAAAGGTATTTTAACTAATAAGAGAGTGCCCTGACGTTTTTTTATCTTAATACATATGATGCGTCTTTTGTTTGGGTTAATTTTGGCCCTTTAAACATTTACTTTGGCTTTTAAGAATGTAATGTAGAAAATATAATGATAACATTGACTGAGACATTACCAGAATGCTCAAATCTAGTGGGAAATTATGCTCTGCTACAGTAAATGTAGATCTAAATCCAACATGGAGCTCTGTTATAAAAATGGGTATTTGACTGGAGAAATCAAACTATAGTTCCGAGACAATTCTTTTGTTCTAAAAGGCAGAAATCAGTTTTTATAAAGTTGTCGATTCCTCAACAACAGTTCAGAGAATCAAACAATCAAACAAACCCAGGAAATGCAACAATAACAAACACAGAAGTCATTGGTCCACAGGGGGCGGGATGACCACTGTCCATATATATTAATACATGTGCAAAGCTCTGGGTTTGATCAGGAAACAAAGTTAAAACATGGTCGATAATATTAAATATGTGTCACAACTACAATTTTAGAGCTGTGCAACTGAATACTTAGAACCAAGAGCTAAGAATCCCTACTTCACTTCAAAATGTATGTAAAAAGTTTCTGAGCCCTATAATTACATGGTTTTGAATACTGTATGTGCCGTAGGTTCACAATATGAACACTCCACCGTTAGCTTGTTTTTCAAATGGACATACATTTAAATAATTGATACTTTTGGTTAGGGATGAATTAATGAAACAGTCAGTCCTCCCAAAGAATACACTGCATCCATACAGTCTGTGTCTTTGGGCAAAGAGAAGGCAGTGAGTGAGAGGCGTGTGTTGAGACATGAGCTGAATTTCCCCCGGTGCATTCCTTGTGTAGATTTATGCTTTTCCACAGTAATGGTAATCTCTGGATGATGCATGGCCACTAAAGCTGGAGGTGACTTTGACTGCCCCTGTAACGTTTTGTAAAATAATGTTTCTCAAGATTGCATGATAATCAGTATAACACCAAAAAGGCGTGACTGAAATGTGAAGAATCTGATTGCGTTCTTCACATTTCTTCTTCCCACCGCTGCAGAGTGTGGGAAGAAGTGCAAAAAGTCAAACATGCAAAATTAATACATAGATACAATAAAATAAATAATACATTTGAGAGAATACTTCAATATCCTAGGTTGAAAAAAAGATCTCAAACAAAACTTGAGCAAAACAAAGCTATTCGCATACAATCCTTGGCTGATGATTTTTATATTTTCTTTTGTGAAGGCCAACTAAGCGAAAAACTTAGTTAAAAAGTTAAAATAATTGTCTACAGAACAAGGCTACTGTCATTATGTAAAGAGATTATAGTCTTGAGTGTGCGTGGTGTAAAGAAGGGCAGGTTTATTATTAACAGCGTTTCAACGGGAAACCTTGATGTGGGGATTTTGTCACTTTCAAAGAGCTGTGTTTTTTTCTTTAAACTTTCTGTGTGACACTTCAAAAATGACAACGCTTTATGAGTGCGCCTCAATTATATATAACAACCGACGTGAAGTGTTTGATGCTCTGGCATGATTTTAAAAGTTTTTTTCAAACACAGCCATGTCACTCACTCTCCCCACAGCAGGAGATTTCTCACATCTCTACTTTTACTTTTCTCCAATAAAGATTTTACAAGATTTAAATTTTGAACTAAACTGACAAATTAATCTTTTCGCAGTCATGGGGGCAGTCATTGCAGGGGACATTTTACAACCTTGTGATCGACAGTGTGAAAGAATGAGATAGTAATATGATCCTTCCAGCTTCTTTCTTGTTAGTTTTGCGAAAAAGATAACGTTATCTTTCCTTTGCAGCAACACTCCAAGGACATGCAAATGACTTAATAGATGCGCCGTAAGTTAAGCTATACCCTCAAAAGAGATGTTTCTGATGTTTTTTATCTCTTGGCATGATTAAGTGACTCTTTTTTTTATAATCTTTGATTCGGTGTGAGCCTAGTTGTTTTGGAATGCAGGTTTATGGACATGCCCTGTTTGTACCTGTGTGCTCTGTGTGTCCTCTGCTGACTCCCACTTCCCTGCTGCGAGGATGTTATTCCCATAAGCCGCTCTGGCAGCTCCCAGGAGTGAGAAAATCCTGTCCCACCCCATGGAGCCATACAGCCAAAGCAAGAGGATCTAAAGTTTCACCCCACATATAATGTCAATAACAGGCTTCTTCACTACATAGGCTTAACGAACAGATAAGTGCCAGTGGAAGCACATGCAAAAGGTTTACAATTTGTTGCTTCTTTGACACACTTTCAACTTTCTGTGTCTGCGTAGGTTTCCTCCGGGTGCTCCGGTTTCCCCTACCACTAAAAACATGCACAATAGGTATGACTGTAATGAGAGAGTGAATGGTTGGTGTTGGTTCGGCGTCTCGCTTCCGTCATCACCGCGTGGAGAGAATGGAACAATATCTAAACTCTGAACGTTGTAAAGCGCCTTGGGTGACCTTGGTCTGTAAAAATGCGCTATATAAATAAAGATGACTTACTTACTTAAACACAAGAAGAAGTATGAAACTACCCAACCAAACCAATTATTTTGATACATGGTAAAACAATATCTGAAATACAGCAAAAACACTTCAGTATAGAGATATACTTAATATGCCCCTCTCTTGTACATTTTAGTGCCATACAAAAACAGTTTCACCTCCTCTTGAGAAAATTCTGTCAAATTTGCGGCCAATAATAAGACATGTTGAAGATTGTAGCTGGAGGAAAACAGAATTTTGAGACTTTTCCAAAACGGATTTAGAGATTTCATGAGACTTTGAAGCAACTGTGGTTAAAGTTGAGCTCATCATTCTAACAATGCACAAGGCAGTACTTTCCCACTACATGTTTTGGTTATCTCAAAGCCAAAGCCACTGGCACCGTGGCAAATGCTGATTGGATGTTTCTTTCTGTATGATATCACTTCCATTGTGTGAATCTTTGTTCATGACTGTCTCTACCATGATTGTCATGTTATCTGTTTTAGTTAATTTAGTAAATTAACTTCATATATGGAAGCATGAATCACTACGAAAATATACTAAATAAGCAAGTACATACTTTATGCCTCATAATATTAGCAATATAGCATCATAATCTACGTAAAACATTGAAACTACACTGTGTTGAATTGACGTGTCGACCCGGGACAAAAGTGAGAAAGGTTGGACCCATGTGGGCATTTCAACTCAGCAAAGACAGTGAAAACTAAAAGTGCCTACAGTATATAGTTTTTCATCCGTTTGAAGACCGTTGGTCATCTGCCCCTTATGGACCGATGGCTCTATGTGTCATGATCTGCTCCTGGAGTGCCCCCCCCTCCTACCTGCTGCAGTCCTGCTGCTCCAATCATCACACCTGCATACATTCCTGGGTTCATCATCATCAGCACCAGCACAAAAGGAGCAGCTCTACAGACACTCCTCGCCAGTTTGTCGCTTCTTTGACCCTCGTCAGTCTTTTAGCACTTGGCTCTATCTCTACCAGTGCATTTTTGTATAACTCACCTTTTTCTCCTGTGTCCAGATCTGGTTTTTTACCCACTTTGCCTGCCTACCATTTACAATATACACTTTTTTAAATAAATCTGATCTTTTTGGATTCTACTGCCTCTACCTCTGCATTTGGGTCCAATCCAGAACCGTGACACTATGTGCTTTGATTCTCGGATCTGTGTTGGCGAATCAACCTCAACCTAACTACTGTTGTGATTTAGGGCTATACAAAAATGAATGTAATTGAATTGAACTAAAACAAAGTTAGGCCCCCCAGCTTTTATGACTCAATCAATCAAACCACTTTTATTTGTAGAGCGCCTTTCCTACACAAGGCAACACAAAGCACCTCACAAACCATGTCACATCAGGCATGAATCATAAACATTAGTCTACATAAAAAAAAACTCTATTATGTAGGAGCACCAGAATTATTGACAATTAGGAGGACCAATCATCTTGATCCACCCGGAAGTAGAAATTCCTCCTATATACCTTCAACCAAATATTGATGTTCTTTTGAGTGTTGTTCCGGTGCGCGATACAGCCATAATATTATTTCTGCGTCTTTGTTTAAAAATCTGACTTTCCTCCTCTCTGTGGGTGACTTTCAAGCAGCATTTGTTATTGCTCGATGGCATCTGTCGTTAATGGCCTCACATATGTTTCTTTAATAACTTCACACACGGTAGCCGCGGCGACCAGACGTTTCACGCTTCAGAACTTTTTTTCCCACTTCGAGTTGATTACCTGCGAACGCGCCCTCTCTCGCATCTTCCTCTCCCTCCGGTCCTGCACGGTGGACAGGTAATTGACCGCTGCGTACTCCAGGACGGACAGAAAGACGAAAACGAAGCTGACCCAGAGATAGATGTCCACGGCTTTGATATAGGACACTCTGGGCATGGAGGCGTTCACTCCGGTGATGATGGTGGACATGGTGAGAACCGTGGTGATGCCTGGACACAAAGGAAATGCATGAAAAGCTTTAAATGTGATTCAACTCAGAGCAAAAAGGGGTCTGGAGATGCGTTCACTTAGCGCAGGCCAGCAGGGGGCGAGGTATTTCAAGTCTTGTACCGGATCAATTAAATTCAGTAAGCAAGAGTGACGCGACGGAAAAGATGGTATCGCTTTGGTACTTTCCCCCCTTTTTTTTTAACCACTTATTATAAGATCAATAGAAAGCTAAAGATCTCACAAAATACATACAAATTACTTGAGTTGAGTGCTTTGTTTAATATAAATTTGAGAACATTCTGACTTTCTTAAAACAAGATTTTTTTATTTTTTATCATACCATGGAAGAATTTTTTTGTATCTTTTTATTTTGATAAGATAATTTTTCTTGTCCCATTGGCAAATCTTGTTTTCAGGCCGTCAAAATGTGCTCAAATGAAGATACATTTTTGCCAATTTATTTCATTTTTTTCATCACTTTTTGCAGTGTTCTGTTATTTTTTTTGGCGATTAAGAATGATAACCTAAGCAAGACTGTGTTAGTAGTTGTGTGATGCCTTGTATTGTTAAATAAACATTCCATCAAACAAATCAATTGCAAGTGTGAGATATATTGAGGCAACTCTCCCACACATACTCACACAGACAACACAACACCCAGGCCCAACCTCTCTCTGACCCTACACCTCTCTCTTAGGGCATCTGTACTCAGGGCATCACTGTTGTTCCTCCATGTATTTACTTAAAAGAACAAACAGGTTTTTAGTTGAATCAGTCAATCCATCTATCGTACCGCTCTAGGGATATCTCAAATGAGCAGTTTGTGCACGGCAGTCCAGGAATTTACAGGAACCGGAGGCTTTTTGCCGAGAAGGATGTGCAGCTTTACCATCAAAGAGGATACAGAACCTCATCCACAAGTCCCACAATAGACTCACAGCTGTCACAGATGTAAAAAGAGAAAAAAAAAAAACAACAGCAAAAAAAATGCTATTGAGAACTGGGGGATGGAGACTTCTAAACTGGGTCAGAACCTTTATTTATCTCCTTTCACAGACTGTCACTAGGGATTAATAGAAAGAATGTTGTATGCATCGAATTTCTTCAGTAGGAAGTATGTTATTAAACCCAAGAATGTGTAGCTCTTGCCTAAAAAAAGAAAAATATATATAGATTTTGGCCTTGTATTGTTGTAATGTGTTCATCAATTTGTATGGGCTCCACTTCATATCGCCGATGTTATTGTTTGACGTTTCCTGTGTTTTTTGTTTTAAATTTTATTCACCCTATGCTGTTCAAATGAATTACCCCTGGTGGGATGAATAAAGTAGTCGAGTCCAGTGAATCAGCTAATAGGAGGATCTTGGAGTGACGTTGCTGTTTATAGTTTGGCACTACACGTGGCACTACAGCATGGAAAGCTACCTGGATGCTAGAGAGTTAGCTAGTCCGTTCTTGTTGTGTGGTTGGTTGTACGGCCTGCTGGTGACATAAAAAAAAAAACAGCAAAAAACGGCCGCGGTAAAGTGGTTGCCCTTCTATGCTGTTACCTACAGCAGTGGTTCTCAAACTTTTCACACCAAGTACCCCCTCAGAAAATACTTGCCTCTCCAAGTACCACCACAAATGACCAACACCACACAGTAGCGTAGTAAGCCGAAGTATTCATTAAAAACAAGGCAGAGGTTTCATTCCTAAAGAAGTATATTTAATGTAATGTTTTACACAGTTTCAACAGTAAGACTGCGCTTAAACATAGGAAAAAATGTTTTTTAAATGTTTCATTCATTACAAACTGCAAAGCCTCACTGTGAGTGATATTCTGGAGTGGGATCTTTGTCCACAGAAGGTTTGGTGCACTTTAGTTTCTAAGGCTTGTTCTGCTGCCCTCTTATATCTGTCGTTTACTCACAGAGACATGTTCATATGGTTTGGATAAAATAATCGTTTGTTGCTCTCTGTTCCTTTTGCACAGAACTGGGAAAAAAAACTTTTGTTTTTGCTGCTCCTTCTACATGGAACGTGTTGCAAAAAGACTAGAAATGATCTGATCTTATTTCCTTGAATGCTTTTAGATCCAGATTGAGACATCTTCAGTGAAATGTAACTGTTTTTATAATCCGTAATTTTATGAAATTGTGTTACTGTTGTATAATCTGTATGTGACCGTTTTATCATCTGTATTGACTGCCAGCCATTTTTTGATGACTTCACTGATTTTTAAGACTCACAGAATATTGTGTGCTATGAAAAATATGAAACCAGAGTCTGAAAGACAGGACTGTCTACTTTCAGCTGCAAAAAGAAGTTTGTTCTTAGTTTGTTTCGTTCTCCTGTGATCTCCAGTTGAAAAGAGGGGAGTGTGACAAAAAGCACCAGTCTTAGACAAAAAAATGAGAAAATGAAGTGTTTGTGAAAACAGACGAACCTGCAGAAAAGTGATTGTAAAACTATTTAGTTTGACTTTAGCATCTCCTCAAACATGTCCAGGATCACATGTTAGAAAACAGCAACAACACATTATGAGAAAGTGTTTTTGATGCAAAATAATACGTTTTATGGCACACACTCACATCCACAAAGTGTTGCTCAAATGTTTCAAAATGTACTCATCCAAAAACTGTCAAAATGTACATATTGAAAGTAGAGCCCATGACAAACTATGGCAGATAGAATGGTCAGTATTCATCCATTAGGTGGCACTATAATTATGTCAATAAGAGTAAATCAAAGAATAACAAAATTACAATGATAAACACTATACATGACAATAAATCAAAGTGAATACTTATAATTATAGTATAAGTGCAATAGAATACTGCTGTGTGTGTTTGTGTGTTTGGGCGTGCATGTATGTGCGTTTGTGTGTGTCTGTGTGGTTACATCTACAGAGCGTCTGTTTAGTCTATGACCATAATTGGACTTTGCTGCTGGCTCCTGGTGTGGACTCAGTGATAGTTTTAGCAATAGTCCACTTTTCTGTGGCTTTTTTGGGGTGCTCCGCTGGTCTGCTGCTCTGTCCCTCCACATGGTCTGCTGCTCTGACCCTCCACATGGTCTGCTGCTATGACCCTCCACATGGTCTCTGTCAGCTCTGGAGACACATTTACTGCTCAAACTGCCTCCAAATGTAGCCTGACCCTGACTATATTACTCCATGTCTGCTTCACCTCTGTCTCTCCTGCTCAGAGTGCTCAAAGTGATCTTTGACCAAACCAGGGAGTTCTGCTGCCACCTGCTGGTCTAATAAAATACTGTCTACAGCCAAACCCCAGAATGTATGATACAGGGGACACAGACTGACAGGAAAAGATTGAAAAACAGTGTTGTCCTGAAATGACTTCCATGGCAGATAATGAGTTAATCTCAATGGGACTTTCCTGGTAAAATACAAAAAAATAAATAAAAAGGATTTTTTTTTTTCACAGATTTTTTTTTTCTTCCACAGATTCTATGGCGTACCCCTAGAGGGCGCCCGCGTACCACTAGGGGTACGCGTACCCCAGTTTGAGAAACACTGACCTACAGTAAACGTAGAACGGGAAGCCTGGGGGATTAGGGGATAAAAATTCATTAACAAATTTAAGTTTTGCAACTACTTTCACTCCGCACTTGTTCACTCATTCATTCATTCATAAATGATGCTTAATATTCAAGCCCCGGCGATCCAAGATGGCGCCCTGTTCAAATTAATGGTTGTGCTCAGTGGCGCTTTGTGACGGCATGGGCGCAGAAAGATTAGCGGAAGTCGCCTGGAACTCGCAAAGATCTATGGCAAAATCGCCTGCATTTGGGCATCGTCTGGTCCTCCCGGTTCTGCCCAGTGGATGATCTCCCATAATGCGTTGCGCCAAACACGCGTGTGTGGGTCTCATGCACGTGCACAGAGGGGCTCGGCCGCGCTCTGACCAATCAGAGCAGTTCATCAGAGCGGGAGTTAGAGCGACAGCCAGACGGGCAGAGTTTGTGGCACTAAAGTGTGGATTTAAACAAAACCGAAGGATTTAAGAAGAAAAAAAGTTCAGGATGACAAGGGACACTAAAATCCCCTCAAAATCCGACCTTTATGAAAGCTGTAGGTTCTCTGTCAGCTGGGGTCGAGCTGTTTTAATATGCATTGAGTTCTATGGGGAAAATGTCTGGGTAGCCCACAAGAATTTAGTCTGGTTTAGTCTGCAGTACCGCGAGAATCCCCTGAGCACATGAGTTATTCAGCTACAAGCTAGTAATACCCTATCCAGTTATTATAATAGATCCATGTTTATATTAAACATTGCATTTGGATTGCTCATCCCCGCGGCTTCCTGTTCCACCTTTACCGTAAGTAACAGAAAAAAGAGGCAACCCGCTTTTAATGCGTGGCAAAATGCCAGGCCACTTTACCGCGGTGAGAAATGGATTAACACCACGGATCCTTCTGCAGTGAAGGGTCCTGGGATTTCTATGAAGTAAGAATAAATGTCTCCGAGTCCCAGTCCCAGCAGATCGGTGCCAAAACAGAAGCGAGTCTGACCAATGTTTTTTCTCGTCATCCCAGGTCTCATATGGGCTTTGGATTTGTTCAGTTCATATACTTATATTTAGCTTGTCTTTATATTTCCTCTGATCTTCTTGCGTTAAAGTGCGTATATACAGTGCTATTCGCCCACTGAGTCTTTTAAAAGTACTCTCGAATCCATGCTTAAGTATGCGCCGCTGTCTTCTTGCCACACAGCGAGGGGCACATGCGCACGCGGGTGTAGACAAAGATTCTGCTATAACGTTCCCAACCTCTGCCACACAGAAAACACAGTATTTTTATGTTGTCATTATGATGTGGATCTAAAAAACATGTTTATTTGACATTACATTTCCTCACAAAACCACTGACAATGAATGTGAAAAAGTATCTGCGTATAAAACCATAAAATCCAGACGTCTGTGCGTGGAAACTTTCAAGCACAACTGAAAAAATAAGAACCCAAAAGACAAGGATTGTACATGGGAAATCTTCCACATAACAAGCTGTGTAGCACAAGCATCTAGTTTGCATGCATTAAATCAGACTAGGAGACAAAAAACCTTAATGTGTCCTGTTATTATCAACTAGTACACAAGATGCCTCTTTCATGAATGCACTGTCTCTGTATGACTCAGTGTTCAGACAGCAGAACAAGCCCAAAGCCATAAACACAGCAGGAGTCTGGGCATTTGAGTCATAGGCAGCCAACTCTTTTAAATATAGAAGTATGATGCAATCCAATACGCCCAATGCTTTTATATCCCTGCTTTGTCCTTGTTTGTTTTAATTGCTCAACCTTCAAATCCAATTCTGTTAGATTTGCTTTTATGTTTGTACGTAGAGAGCCCATTTCTACAGTATACGGTTCTTATGGTTGGATGCAATTTTTCGTTGCTTCTCACTGCATGAGACCAAATGTAGAACACAAATTTCAAAGTATAATGTCATTTAGAATCATCAGACATGTGCTCTTGCCTCTGGAGAAGCTTGATTGTCTGTTTTTTAAATTAAATTGTGCTTAAAATGGTATTTCTGTACAGCACAGTTTCTACGCAAGGCAACTCAAAGTGCTGAACAAAACAAGATAGAGACAGTCACATAAGGTATTACAATTATAAACAATCACAGTACATTAAAAAGAGTTAAGATAGAATCACTCAGTTGTATGCACAGCTAAAAATAATTGTTTAACCTGGATTTGAACATTGTCAGGGAAGGAGCCTGTCTCACTTTTTCAGGAAGACTGTTCCAGATTTTAGCTGCGTAAATAGTTAGATAGATAGATGGATAGATACTTTATTGATTGCCCTGTAGGATAAATTCAGGTCTCCAGCAGCAGAAGACTCATAAATCTGAAATGCTGTCTCCCCATGTTTAGTCCTGACTCTGGGCACCAGCAGGAGGCCAGTCCCTGTACTTTGGTGCGAGGCCCTGGAGAGACTTGAACTCATATTGTGTTCATCAGCAGGATCTCTACCACATTCAGAAAATGTCTTCAGACAGAAGTCCATTTTATACAAATCCGGTTCAACCCTCCTCCAATCATAACTGCATCCATGGTAATCCTATCGGCTTCAATAGGGGTCTGTGCTTACAATACATGTCCACATTCTGTCATTTCACAATGCAATGGGTTTTCATGTTTCAATGAACAGTTATGAGGAATGCATTGAAAGAAAAAAAAGAATCCAAAGAAAATGAAATGGACCAGCTTATGTAATACCATTCTTACAAAACAATACGCCCATAGTTTCCAACCAAATTGACAGTAACTGCTGTTAAATAAAAAGCCAATTTGAATGCAAATCCTAAATCCATTCTGAAATCCCGAAGCCAACTGTGTGTAAATCTCTGTACCATTTGACACGACTGCAGCTCCCGGGCCTTTTTGCACGCCAAATCTCCTTAAAAGCAAACACCACAGGCTGAATTTGAGGGGAACTATTTTCAGCTGTGGATTATTTTGTGTTGTTTTGAAGCAATTGGGTAAGAGACCATTAGTGATGATGTAATGATGAATGCATCACCTGAACCATAATGAACTGAGAATGCCATTAAGAAATACAAACATTTCCCGTCGAGGCTTCACGCGCTGTTCCTATTACGAGCTACGGATCTCACAAACTAACATTTTAACTACATCTCTATAAGGCTGGGGTTACTTCTCATTTGGCAAATAAGTGTTTTTTGTCCAAACAGAAAGAGCCCTGTAGAAGTAAAATGTTGTGAACAAATCAAACCCCGACAGGCAGCTTTCATCTTCTTAGTAAACTCTTATGAATATTGGAATCCCTCAACACTGAGTGAAGGTGGGCCGCACTTTTTCTAAATATGGGACCAAATGTAGGTGAAAACCAGGGATATAGAATCAAACTGTTTTGAAAACGAGTCTGGATTGTATTATGTTTTTTAAATTGTGATTTGAACGTTAGGTACCCCAGCTTTTAACACTTTAAAGTTCACTCCTTGATTTTTGATTTTTTGAGATACAAGAGCACTAAAAACACACATTTAAAAATCAAAACGTTTTTTAATTATAGGTCTCTTCTAAATTTTTGTTTGATGGTAAAATTGCCCTAAAACCAAGTGATAGAGATGCCCCAATGAGGCAGATTTCAGTTCCAAGCTTCAAGTAGACATTGTGACTCAAAAAGTGATCCACCAAATGCTTGAGGGAAACATTAAAGGGTTAAAACCAACATAATGCATAAACAATATCCTCCAGTCCCCTTTTCTATTGGTACAGGAATAAAGTGAACAACAATGAGCATATACAACAAAAATGTTTGTTATTAGTGAAACACTCGGGAAAACCACCATTTATTCAGCTTCTACAGTATGTGCATGGGGTTTCTTTGATGTTCTTTCCCTTTTGTCTCTGGTGACAAAAGCAATTCATGTTTTGTTGTTTATTTATTTTTGCCTGAAGGAACAAAAACATTTCACTCCCAATATGAAGCATATCCTTGAAATGCTTCAGCTGGAGTCATGGTGAAAAGCAAGATAACTGGTTATTATTATTATTTGTTTATTTGATAGGGACAGAATTGTTACAGGAACCGATGCTGTGTTCATAGGCCGTATAGCTAACAGCTAGTTTGCAGACCTGGTCCCTAAAACCTAGAAATACATCACATTTACATTATACATACATCATTATATTAAAAAAATAAGTAATAAGTTATACTAAATAATAAACAAGAATACAATACAAAATACAAAAAAAAAAAAAAGAATACAATAAATGATTACAGTCTTGCATTATGCTCACAAGGTATGGTGAAAGCATGAGTAAAAACCTATATGAATGAACCAGGCTATAAGGCTCGTCCAATTGATATAATAAAACCGTCACACTGCTGGATATGCGAGAGATCAAGACACTTATCGTATTTCCAGTCAAATCCAGGATGATTTTGGGGTGAATGCGGATCCAATTTCATATTTATTCTGCCTGGTCCTTTTGGCTTTTTTACAAGTCTCTAGAGATCATTTTCAGATACATTTTCCACAGCTATGAACGGGAAATTGTTAAAAATCTTCCCATGTCTGTTTAGGCATCCTCCAGGTAATTCAGAGCTCAGAATGATCTCCCAGTTCTCTAGTAGAAATTATGAGCTGAGGAGCCGTTTATGTGAAATTTCCCACTCGGCAAGAGGTATTTACCATAATTACAGCAGCTCATGAAGGCTCCTATAGTTCAGGGTGAAGGAGTGTGTGTTTGTGACGCTGGGACAACAGATGGAGAAAACATTGTTTATTTACAGCACTACTGTAAGCAAATACACAACGATTCTATTATAGCCACCCCCCAGGCGAACCCTCCTATATATTTACCAAAAAATCATTCAGGTTGCTTTGGAGGTTGATCTTTATCTGTTCAGAGATTGTTCCCACTTAAAAAATGGAGTAAATGAGTCATGAGAGGATTAAACTACAGACCATCAGCTTCACAAAAATCCAGCCATTTATTTGTACTCTCAAGAATATTCCGGTTGATTTGTTGCGGATTTTGTGAAACAAGCAATGATTTAAAAGGATCAATAGATTCCTTTGCAAATACAAACTAGTCCAGATAAGAAATAATGCATTTTGGTTTTCATTTTAGAATATGAATGATAAAAAAAAACACGATTACTGACTGGACTAAAGACAAAGCAGCTGCAGAGGTCAGGCTTACCCAGGGAGACTCTGGCGGGCACGGCTCTGCGGTCGATCCAGAAGGACACCCAGGACAGCATGACCATGAGTGTGGCCGGGAAGTAGGTCTGCAGCAGGAAGAAGAAGATGTGGCGGCGCAGCGTGAAGTTTATGTACAGTCGGTTGTACCAGCCTGGAACACAAAAGGATTTACAATTTAGTTATTCGAGACAGAGTAGTGAAGACTAGTATAAAACAGTCCATTCAGAAAGTCTCATCTCGAAACTGTTTGAACTGATTTATATTGTATTTGACCAAAACTGAACTGAACTGAAGCATTGTCTAAAACAGGGCTGGGTAATTATTTTCTCCGGAATATTGTCACATTGAGGAGGGCCGGACCACTTTTCACGCATTTACAATTTCATTTAATTGGCAAAATAATAATAATACATCATACTTTTATAATGCTTTTTTGGACACTCAAAAAAGCACCTTATAAGTATTTACAGAAAAGAATAACAAACAGAATGATGACGGAGGAGGTCAGTAAGGTACAGTAAGAAGGGGCGAGGTTATGGAGGGACTTGTAGGTGAGAAGGAGGACCTTGTATTCTATGCGGTAAGTAACAGGGAGCCAGGGGAGTTGTTGGGGTGATGTGGTCTCTGGAGCGGGTGTGGGTGAGCAGGCGGGCGGCAGAGTTGTGGATGTATTGTGGTTTTTGGAGATGAATGGAAGGGAGACCGTAGTGGAGGCTGTTGAAGTAGTCGAGTCTGGAGGAGATGAAGGCGTGGATAAGGATTTCTGCAGTGGATTGTGGGAGGGAGGGGCGGAGACGGGTGATGTTGCGAAGGTGGATGTTTTGGATGTTTTGCGTTTTGTTGCTCTTGAGATATGCAATTTTCCAAGGAAGCTACTTATAATAAATGAAAATTGTTTCGCTCGGATTTAACCAAAACTGGGTAAACACCGAGAGGAGGCCCCGGGAAAGACCTAGGACACGCTGAAGGGTCTCTCAGCTGGCCTGGGAACGCCTTGGGGTCCCCCCGGACGAAGTCTGGGCATCTCTGCTTAGACTGCTGCCCCCGCGACCCGGCAACGGATGAAGCGGAAGAAAATGGATGGATGGGTAAACTGAGTATTGCTGGTAGATTTACAGATTTGGCCATGGTAGAACACATGGAGTTACAAACATTTCTTGGGTATTGACTCCCATTCATTTAATAAGGCAACAGAGGGCAGGACAGGGGTTCAGGGGCCATATAAAAACATGAATCTGGCCGCATTTGGCCCCCAGCACACAGTTTGCCCAGGTCTGGTCTAAAAAAAAAAAAAAAAAGTTGTAGCAACTTTGACCCTCAATGTGAGAAATGATTAGGGGCTGATTGACTTGGAAAATACATACAAAATAAGACAAAGATTTAACTCAAGCCAATAAGACGTACAAGAGATAAAAAGTGCGTGCTCGCTACAACTGTCACACTCAAGTTAATTGTTTTGGATGTAAAAGACGTGAGGCATTTGAGACGTGGTATTTTTATAGAATTCAAACTGTGGCTGGCACAACTGTATAGGCACATTTTTATCTCAGTGCGCTTTAATCTTATAGTTTCAAAAGATGTTTTGAAATGTTGCTATTAAAACTCTTTCCTGCTCTTTTTGATCGTCTTGTCTCCAAAAAGCTCTCAGACAAACTGGAGCGTCAAAGACTTCTGAAAGGGCAAATGGAGTGGAATACAGATCTTTCACTATCTGAAATGTAGAAACGTTTTCCTCCAGTTATCTCTCAAATTGCCATGGTAATAACATTCTGAATGTTAAATGTGTTCATACACACACTTCAAGTTGTCTACATGAAAAAAGTGTCAAAGATAAAGGCAAAATCAAAATTACTTTAATTTATTGTAACTTGGAAGTTCTACTTTTCTTCATGTTGACAGGTTAAATGTTAAACTATACAGCAGAAGACAAGTTCTGCGCATAAAATGTACCACCAACTTTATAAAAACACCCATCTTTCAAGGGTTGTGATACATAAAATCTTCGTAATAAAAAACTCAACAAGTCCATAAGTAAGTCAAAGCAATCTAGGGATTGTGTTTGACCAGGCCATGTCTCTGAAGACACACTCCAAACTCATCCGTAACTGCTTTTATCACCTTAGGAACATTGCAAAAATCCACAATATGTTATCAAAGAAGGACCTGGAAATTATCATTCATGCTTTTATTTCAACAAGACTCGACTATTGCAACTATGTTTTTACCTGCTTGAATAAGTCTGCACTCAACCAACTTCAAATTGTTCAAAATTCTGCTGCTAGACTTTGAACAGGTGCCCCTCGAAGGTCCCATATCACTCCTGTTCTGTCTGTTCTTCATTGGCTCCCAGTAAAATTCAGGATTAAGATTTTAGTGCTGACCTTCAGAGCCTTAAATGGTCAGGCCCCCCAGTACATCCTGAACCTTTTGAGCCTGTACTCCTCTGGCCGCACTCTCCGGTCCTCTGGCCAGAACCTGCTTGTGGTCCCCAAAACCCATTATAAGACTCGAGGGGACCTGTCTTTTCAGTCTGTTGCCCCCAGACTGTGGAACGCCCTGCCCCTGTCCCTACGTCTGGCCGACTCTGTGGACTCTTTTAAAAAAGGCTTGAAGACTTATTTATTTAAGAAAGCTTTTAGTTGATTGGGTTCTCACTAATGTCACTTTTACGTACGTGTGTGTAAATGTATTTGTTTCGTCTTTGTCCACTGTCCTGTACAGCACTTTGTGATTCTTATCTGTGAAAAGCGCTTTATAAATAAACTTTACTTACTTACTTACTTACTATAAGTAGTCAAATATTCAGGCAAAACTATATCTCCATGGAGACAAAAAGAGATGGTTGACCCTAGACCTCCCCAGAAAAGGCAGAACCTTTAGCAGGTATTTTCTAATCAATGTGAATAAAACTTTTATATAAAAATAAAATGTATTATGACTTCATGTTCAGTGAGCAATTAAGATCATATCATATCATTATCATACGAATTGATTGTTCTTTTCTATTCTTGGATGAAAAAGTTGTGTGCCACACATGTGTACTTGTGAGTGTAGTGCACCTGTGCTGCTGTAGAAGGCCAGTCTGGACGTGGTGTGGAACTTCTGGATCAGAAACTGTGAGAGTGAGATCCTGTCGTCGGTGCTCAGAGACTCATCCCCGCTCTTCCAGTACAACATGAGGTCCTCGTCGGTGTACGCATCTGCAACACACAACATTAAACCATTAAAGCTGGGTTATGTAATACAGTCCTTCTCAATAGCCTCTGTCACATCTTTAGGAACAAAAAGTACATATACATTTTTTTTAAGTCCAAACAATGAAAAGAAGAGACCAATTCTATAGTGAGATCCTCGCATTGTGATCTGTCAATTGTATTTGTCTCATTGAAATTCCATCAGTTTAATAATGTACTAACTTATATGGATTAAAGAAAAAACTGAAATCACAAGTCCTATTACATAAGACGTAAAGTAAACAACATGTATTTTCTATTATTACTTGGTAAGCCCTATAAGCTTCTTAAATGTGCTCTATGAAGCCTGCAATTCTACATTGTCTTTTTTCCGTTGTAAGATGTTGAAAGTATTACCATGGGTGAAATACCACAGATGACAAGACTTGGCCAAGTTCAGCACTGTGGCTTGTTGAGAGCGTCCAACAGAAAAAAAACACAGTGCACTCTGAGCGCAGCCTTACTTTGCTGTATAAGTGCAGATGTTTCTGGGGCTGTTACAAACATGATCCAAAATATGTGGATATAAAATATATTTAAACCATCGAACAGCTTCCAGGTCCTCCACCTTCTACAGAGAAGGTGTAGGACCGAGAGCCAAAGCAATTTCCTTGTTTGACTTCCTGTTACTCACATGGCAATAAAAGGATTCTGATTTTGCATTTACATTGTGGGGAACTAATCAAATATTGTCACTGAAATAGTTTGATAATTAAAATAAGCAATATCATACTAGTTACTTACTCGCAAAGATGAATGACTTGAATAATTAAGGTAGCCTCTAAATTTAGTCATTTAAATGCTGTTTTTTAATAACAGGCCAAGTTGAATAGCTCATCACTGCAGCTGTGAGAGGTACATGGCATTTATAATAATAAAGCGGGAAAATGGCCCTCATTAACCCCAGTACATTTTCCCTTGATAAACAAGCTGGAGTGCCACAAATTGCTTTGATTATATTACCATTATGTCATTTACAATACTTGTCACACTCTATTAGGACTACAGCTGTATGGAGACAATTCTTGCAGTTATTTAAGTTCTGGGACATGAAGCAGAGTAGCTTTTTACATTTTTTTTAAGAGTTCTTTTTTAGCAATAAGAAAAAAAACCCCAAAAAACATTGAGACCAGAAGGGGGCATCACGCTTCACACTTTGAGCACAGCAAGATGCACTGCCTTTGGGACTTAAACCAATTTCAGAGAGAAGACAATTACTATGTTAGGCCTTCAAACTTTCAGCATGAATTATGATAAGGTTTTGACTTTTCACATTATAAAAATTGTTTCAAAAAAATTGTTTTATGTGAGAGTTCAAACTCATAATCCAATTAAAATAATACGTTGGTTTCTTACTGCAGATACGGCCTCTATTCTCCAGTTTCTATCTAGTTTCTTATCAATTAAAACCTAATAGCAGCTATGGCAAATTTTACCCGCCAAATTTCCTGGTTTCAGAGAGTGCGCCGACAGCTTGGTCTTGAAACATCACATAGAGTCCCCTTAATCTTAAATGTATGACCATGCTTTTTGAAAGGGCCCCCAGTGATGGGAAGTGCTTCCTGGGAATACCTTTGATGTTGGAAATGGTGTGATTCCCTGAGTACGCACCGAGCCACTGCAGATGAGAGCAATCTGTCTGTCCTCCCTCCGACCAAAAGTCATTCTAAGCACGTGCTGTCTGGTGGAGATGCAGAAAATTCAGACAAATGTGCCTTTGCTGACATTTAGAAATAATTATTGTTGTTGGTAAAACACATTCACAATATTGAGCAACTTAATAACCGTGTGGAACTACGCATTTTTCGGTTTGACCTGAAGTCTCAATACTGATCTGTGGGTGGTATTGAAGGCCGCTTGGTTATCGAGTCGTTCCTTGTGGATTCCGGAAGGTCTAAGGGCAGTGGGGATGATCCAGGACCAGGACTAAACACGTCACACACACCAACTGACGCCAACCATCACTCCAGAGTCAATGGAGAGGCAAGGCACCAAATTCAGATGTAGTACCACCAAAAAGGTAGAGAGGGCACCACACAGACGGTTTAAGGCTAAAAAGTGAGATTTTATGTAATTTGGACTATAATGTACAAAATAATGCAGGATATGTAGAGAGCATTAGAAACATATTTATGCAGTTTATGAGTTAAAAAAGTTGAAGCTCCGTGAAGCTGATCAAGTTCGCGGACGACACCACCCTCATTGGACTCATCTCCAACAACGATGAGCACTGTCCCCCCTACCCTCCGTGATGGACTCCTATCGTTTCCTGGGCACCACCATCACCCAGGACCTCAAGTGGGAGCTGTAGGAGAAATTAAAATGACCTCAATCAAAGACATTTTGTTGTATATTGAGACATATTATAACTTCTGTCTCCACTGTGTGTAAATCCTTGTGGTTCAGGTTTTATTGTGGGTAAGAATGTCTTAAGATAAGTGCCATGGCAATACCCTTCCCCCAACGACTCTACAAGATGTGAAGACTTACAAGGACCCACAGAGAAGACAAACCAGTCTGCTTTGGAACCACGGAGTGACCAGACCTCCTTGGGCTCTGCCTGGGCTCTGCTCAGGCAATCAAGGGGCCTTGGGCCTCTTAGATGGCCTCAAACCTCAGCTCCACGTTTGAGAGGACTTCCACAACCCTTCAATAGCCTCCAGCTTCAACCTGAAGAAGTTGCTGAGTTTTGGCACCTAGACTGTGGATCGTGGGAGGACTTGGTTCAGCCACATGATGCAGCCGCATGGTCCAGGCCCCGTGGACAAGAAGCCTCCATCCAACACCATCAAGACCCAAGGACTGCTATTCACCAAAGGCTATTCTGGTTGTATGATCTGCGCTCTTGCTACACACAGTTGTTGGCTTTATTAAAACCTACACTTCAAAGAATACTTCTCCTACCAAGGCTGAACACATGCAGGCCTCAGCCTATACCAATCCATTCATAGAAAAAGGTCTTGCTTAGCTCACTTTAGCCTAGCATTTTAACAATGTATCTTGAAATCAACGTTTCCTTCATGTTATTCTTGACAATTTGCATATTTCATATCTAGTCTGTATTGTGTATACTTCATTAAATCTACAAAACCATCTTTGTCCGAAAGTGATATTTGTACTTTTAACTCCAGAAATTGGGTCACTGATTTGTAAAAGAATTCACTACCTTCAGATTCTATTGAAGAGAATTGGACTAATTAGCTAATTAAATAATGAAAGGACTCATGAGATTACTTAATCAATAAATGAGCCAATTAATTGATATTGTGACGTCATATGCACGTTATCAGTTGGGAGTTATTCCCTGATGCCCCTAAATAGAGCTATTATCAATTATTGTATTTGTTACATGGTTGTTTTTATCCAATTCTCCGATATCAGGTACATAACTTAAGTTATGTGTGATATCGACATTTTTTCACCCTACAGAGCCGACCATCAGCTCCCTCATCAAGCAGGCCCAGCAGAGGATGTACTTCCTGCGGCAGCTCAGGAAGTGCAGAGAAGGTGATCGGCCGCAGCCTTCCATCGCTGCAGGACCTGTACGTCGCCCGAGCTCGAGGCCGGGCTGGTCGTATCACAGCCGACCCCTCTCACCCTGCACATGGACTATTCCAACCACTCCCCTCAGGCAGGAGGCTGCGGTCCATCAGGACTAGAACCTCCCGCCACAAGAACAGTTTCTTCCCCTCTGCTGTTGGACTCTTGAACACTTCTTAACCTGTCCCCCCGCCCTTTATAAAGTCACTTTACTGCCCATCATACGTCCCTTTACTTCACTGTACTACTGTCACCTTACATTGTGTGCACCATGTGCACTTGTATATTGTAAATAGTAACTGTAACTCTATTTTAAATTTAAATTTATTCTTAGAAGTGTTTTTTATTCTTATTTTTATTATCTCTTTTTGACTGTTGCACTGAGCCAAAGCAATTTCCAAGTCTGTGACTTCCTGTTACCTACGTGGCAATACAAATTATTCTGATTCTGAATTTGGGTTTTGTTGTCCTTTAACCTCTCAGGTCTATTCTAGGGCTGGGCGATATGGCAAAAAAGTTAAATCTCAATTCTATTTCCTGCTTTATACGATTTCATTAAAGTCACCAAAGACAAACCAAAAAGATCAATATTTTGCATCTTTCCGCTCAATAATCAAGTTTCAAAACTATTTTTAATTTGTTTCCCCCAATACGTATTCTTGTACAGATTGTGCTGATATTGTAAGTATAATTGATGTGCTGCTGGAACTCTCACAATATCCTTCATTCGATTTCACGATTTTCACATTTTTCACAAATTCGATTTTTTTCAAAAGCCGATTGCCTAAATTCGATTCATTGCCCAGCCCTAGTCTATTCCCATAATACTATACAGGCCTTTTCACAGCCTGAACATTGTTGAAAATACTAGAAATTTTACTCAAATTGTAAGTGATTCTGTGGATGTGAACATTTACATGTCTACAATAGTTTGCAAGAGTACATTAGAAATACATTTTCAAAAAAGGTTGGTTTGCTTAAAAAAACACATACAAATTATCTGTAAAGGACATAATTATAACATATATACTATACATAACAATTTATGCAGGTTTTGATGTGAAAAATCCAAGCAAAAAGGCATGTGGCACAGTTTGGCACAAAAAAAAGCTAAATGTGGAATATCTGAATGAAACTGGAAAATGTAGATGCTGTTACATATTTGGTCTCGTCTCCGTGTGTCAAAGTCGGCAAACGAGCTTTCCAACATTTCTGGACATCTGCCCCTATGGACCATTTGCTATGTTTGAACCCTATGATTCTCTGATCTGTGTTGGCAATTTGACAACTTTTTAAAGGCGACTGTTGTGATTTAAGTTTGTACAAAAATAAATTGAATTGAACTGAGAAATGTTCTGAGGACCAAAGCCTCCCAAAGTTATGCAGCCAGCGAAAGTTCAATTTGGTAGACGTTAACCAAATTTACCCCTCCAGGCCGGCTCTCATCCTCAGCCTATCACTCTGCAGACGCCCCCTTCCAATCATCTGTACCGACTCGCAGCCGCATAAAAACGGAGCAACGCCCACTACCGGCCTCCTGAAGCCTCGCAACCACCGCCTCCCCTCCTCCTCCTCTTCACCCTGCCTCCAATCTGCTTCAATTTTCTTCCCGCTGCCAAATGCCGCCACCAGTGCCTAGGTCCCGGGGGATTGTGCGCGCTCATCGCAGGAGCCTTTACGATCCGAAGGCCGCACCGGGACCTAGGGCGCCAAACCTCCTTTCATAAAATACTCAACTTCCTGTTTCTCGTCTCTCCAAATTGAATTGTTGTTGTTGTTTTGACCCATGTTGAACTGCTGTGTCGAGTCGACTCGGGACAAAAGTTGGAAAGCTGTGTTGTGTTGTTTGGACCCATGTTGCTTTTCCCCGCGGGGACGACAAGAACGTGTCAAAAAAACCTTCTTTCAAAGTCTTCTGAAGTTACATCCAGTACACCCAGAAAATCACTTTATAATGGACTATGGCAAGCATATCATATACTGTACAAGGATAACTTTAGTATAATAGTAAGTAAGTAACCAAGTATGCACTCTTTGATTATATAACGTCTTTCACAGATAGTTTTGAGTTTTAGTTTTTAGTGGTAGGTGAAACCGGAGCCATACATGCAAAGGCCCAAACTTTGATGGTAAAAGCACGTTATTGTGTAAAGTGTCATGAATCAAGAACAAAGAGAGAACTTAAATGCAGGACTGCAAAAATACAAGATTATATCAACAAAACTCAAAAATAACCAAATCCAGGATAAAACAGAAATCCAGAATCCAACCGTGGGGGGAAAAACACAATATACCGAACACTAGAGGAGGTGATCACAGGATTTAAATATATTAGGGAGACACAGGTGAGACACAAGAGGTTGGGGCAAAACCGAACAAAAAGGAAGTGAACTCAAAAATAATGAACAATAATTTACCTGCTTTCTTTTGGGAATGAGATTTTGAATCTTTGGGTGATGATTAGACGTCTTAACTAGAACCAGGCCTCTTTTCCGCGGGAGAGTTTTCCATAAGCTTGGGTCCATCTAATTGGTGTTGCCTGGAATGTTCCATAAGGCAGCCTCAAACGTAATCTACACAATAGACTAACAAATGACATTAGCAGATTAAGATACAGGCCTAATCTGCACAGGGGGGGAGCAATTATTGACGGGGATTTCAATGTAAAAACTGCTAAATTTAGAATAAACAAAATATGTTGTTTTGCTTTGATTGACTACAGCTCTGGAGGGTGCACACAACACGCCAAGGCCACGGATTGTACCGATGTTTGGGGGTGATCCTACTGTCCCATCACATCTAAACACCATCTCAATCCGCAGGTCACAGAACCCATCAGAAAAACCCAATAGACCAGAAAATGAGCTCAAGTCAAGCAATATGAAACACTGTATGCAAATTCTGGTCAGGATGTGTAATATGTAGGGCAAATTGTGCACTATTCAAGCCATGTTTTACTTCTGCTGGGAAATCCTCTCAGAGTGCCTTTTGATCTGAATTGGCCTGTTGTGGATATTGCTATAGTGCAGAGAATACTTCATCATAATCATATGATAGTCTGCTGTTACAATCTCCAAGGCATGATCGACTATTGAATCAGCCAATCAGAGACACACGCTATCTGTCAATATAAAAAAGAATGAACAAGCAGAAGAAAAAGTATGCAGAAATATATCCAGCAGTCAGTAAAACATTCATTATATTTATTTAGTGTATTATTTGATGCAACACATTGTAACCTGCCTTGTTTAATTCACTATAAAGGCGTATTTTAAACTGTTTGTTATTTATGTGTAATGCCGGGAGAAGAGAAAAGAGGACGATACATTTGTCAAGAGCAATCTCTCCCCTGGGCCTGGACCCTGGGGCAAACAGTCTCAAGGTTGTGATTTAAACTACACTCATTTATCAAAAAAAAAAAGTCTAATATATTGTTATGTTAATGCTGTCAAACTATATATATTATTGTTTTATTATGACTAATTGATGTATACTTATCGCAGATGACTCATTTAAATGCAGCAGACACCATAACTTTGTGTCCCTGTAGAATTTATTGCCTCCAAGCCATTTAATAACATTGGAGTAGTATTTAACCTCAGCTGTCGTCGACGCAGCTAAAACACTTGATTACAGAATAGCATTGCCTTTGGCCATATACGAGACCTATTTGTAAACAATAGTAATAAATCAAATGATCTCTAAACAAGGACAACTGAAACATGCAAGACAAGCATCTTATTTACTCATGATATTACACTTGATCTTTCATTTCTTGATGAAACAATGGATCCTTTCACAGTTGAAGTGGAACAAGAGAGAGCGATGACCCCTCAATAAACACCAACATCATTAAAATAATGACATTGGGGGAACATTAATAGAAACACAATAGGCAAAATCAACTTTTTTCATCATGCTATTATGTTTGACATTGTTCTCTCATGAAAAAGAGTTATGAAGTTGTTCTAGATCCATCCAAAAAATATCAGGAACTGTATCTGTATACTGGATAACTTGAATCTGTCATGGTGTGGATTTTATTTTTGTATTCTGGTTTTATTTTGATCATCAGTTCCCTGTGCTTTGGTTTTAGTTTTACTTCTTGTGGTGTTCCCCTGTCTTGATTGTCTGCCCCGCCCTGATGTGTTTCACCTGTGTCTGTGTCTATATGTACCCTGTGCTCCTCTCCCCTTGTTGCTGGTCCATTGTATTGTCAACCTCCGTCCTGTATTGTCTATGTCTGTTCCTGGTTATGTGTTCCATGTGCCTCTGGATTTTGAGTTTGTTTTTCTCCTGCACTTTTGGTTTTTCATCATTAAATGATATTTATTTTTGGCATTCTTGCATTTTGAGTCCTCCATCATCTCACCTCGTGACAGAATCGGTCCCTATGGTTGTAGTCGTTTGCCTCCTGCCTTAGAAAAAGGCATGGTTTCATGCATCTTATACTGCTACATACTGTACAGCAGTCTATACAACCTATAATGTAACAAGAAACATGATCGTTGGTTACTATAGTTATTGTCACACTGTAACATGCTTCAGTTCCTGGTACTATTTTAGTAACTAGGGTCAGTCAGACCAGGAACCTTTTAGTACCGCTGACTGTCTCACATTGACTGTAAAGTAGTAAAGAGAGAAAAGGCAGTTTGAAGCATAGTATATTATTATTATTTAATAATATATTTATAATAGTTATAATTATAATAGTCCAGTGCAAAGTGAAATAGCTCGTGCAGTTTTAGTGGTTTAATACTACATCTGTACATGGATGCCTTTGTCCTATCCTCATTTACAGTATTTTGCTCTACACATGTGATAAATATATCCCTTGATACGGTCCAGTTTCACCCAGTTTCACCTCACTCGGCTCTTAGATAAATTGAGTTTGAGACCCATGCTTTAGTGGGTCAGATCTCTGTAAAATGTCGATAAGAACCAAAATTCACTGAGTCACACAGAGCTTAGACTCTCCTCTGTGGCAAACTCCAGCCAGTGCAAGTTCCTGAGCAAGTTGGAACATGCTTCGCGGGCGCCTTAAGGGGTCCTCGTGGGCCTGGACACAAGTTTAGAGACCCCTGAGCTAAAGGATCATTTTGTATAGGATATATTTTACTTATTTCTTTATTTACAAAATACACTGAGAAAAATTCATGATTTATGAAATAAACTATTCAATACTATAAAGTACTGTAAGATAAAAAAAATATGTAATACAATGTCTAAATGCTGCTATACTGTATTGTATTTACTTGATACAACTATAACAATGTCCTAATACTCCTGTACTCTACTGTACCATACTCTATATAACATCTATGAGTCCTTTGCACAAGAGCTCTTTGCACCAAACAGTGAGGTTGAATTTTCCAGCAGAAATTACACTTAGACACATAGAGAGAACATGAATCCTCAGATGTCAGTCTTTAAAAACAGTTCTGAGAAAAATATCTACTCAAAAGTTCTAAGAGTTTCATGTGAGAAGTAATGCTTTAAGATACATTTGAAGTTTAAAAATATACATACAGTAATATATTATTATTATTATATAAAAGAACAGGGGGGTTAATCTGGCCTGAAGGGCATTAAAATAGCCTGGGCCAGTTTATTCCCCAGGATATATTCTTGCCTAGGTCATTTTATACACAGGGTCATTTTATATCCAGGGTCATTTTTTACCCAGGGTATAAACTGGCCGGGGGAAATCAAACGTCCAGTTACACCGGGTCACCGGGGCAGCAGTCAAAGCAGAGACTTTCTGAGTAAATTAAATCAACAACTTTACACTTGAATCACAGTATTACTATTGTCTTTTAGGACTCAGTGTTCAGAGTAAAATGAATGCTATGGTTGTTTTCCTGAGAAACTAAGCTTTAAAAGTAAAAACTAGGCAACGAGCACAATGTGTCATGTGAAAACCGTGGAAAACTCAAAATAAGCTCGTAAGTGGACTTTAAGAAGGTGTGAGAAGAGCGGTCAGAGGTGTCATTTGAGCAGAGAGCAGTGGGCATTAGAGGAGAAAGGACAGGCACATGACAGCTGGAGATATTGTGAAGTAGAAGATGATTTTGGTGTGATTTGGTGATTGTCACTCACAGCTCTCCAGCTCCAGTGAGCAGGACTGCGTGTCCAGGGGAAAGCGGCTGAAGTCCATGTTACAGGCGGCGGTCACTGTCACTCTGGAAAACATACAAGAGGAATGACGATGAGTGCAAAACAGAAGAGAAGGGAAAACTGTTCTGGTTTTACACCCACTTAGCCTGGGTTTTGAAACATACCGAAATAATACTTCATCGCAATGATCATAATGAGTGAGGAGAAACAAAATAGTTCTACATAAAGAAATGAATTATACATACATTCTCAATATAAGCATGCCTTTTCTCTGAGCTCTTAAATGCATCTGGTAGTCTTGTCTCAGTTGTCTTGATATTTTGTTATGTTTCTAGTTTATCGCAAAAACTATTATGGCTGTGGTTCCCAAAGTCGTTTGATTATAAACAATATAGTTCATAAATAAATTGGTACCATAATACATGATTCAATCAAGCAACACTATAGTTAAAGCAGAGTTAAAAAGGATTTATTAAGGACAATGTGCAATTACATTAAAAAGATGGATGGAAGATCTAGAACCATGAAACTTTCCATCTGAAGTCCTTGACAGAATGCTATTAGAATGTTGTTTGTTGTTGTTATCATTTTTAATAATTCCTATGTGGCCAAAATATATTGTATCACTGCTAGCTCCAAGAAGTCCAGCCAAAGAGGGATGTATGTTAATCCACTTTCCAGAGAAATGAGGCTTTTGAACATGCTAATAAGGAAGGTCTTGTCATTGTTCTTTGCTCTGTTGCTTCTTCCTTTCCTTTCTACATATGAAGGTGTGTCTTAAATATCAGCATTAACACAGAAGAACCAACATACAAAAAATAAAAAATAAAAAACAGCTAATTAATATTGAGCTTTTCCCAGAAACAGAACAAACAGAAAGAGACGGTAAAAGTAAAGTGTGAATATTAAACTTTTTTTATTACAGACACAAAGTCCAGATAAGAAAGACATTACACAAAAACAAAAACAACAATAATCATAAAAAATACATGATTACAGCAGACTACTGTACCAGTGACGCCACAGTTCAGACTGATAGCGTGTGGCACTGATTCTGATGTTGGTCAGGCTCATTATGATCACATTCTGACTTTGGTTCAGTCGACAAATAAATCTGTACATCAGGTTTCTTAGTACAGCACGAAAAGTTCGAATCCCAGAAGAAACAAATAATAGGCTGGCACTCTCCCACCGAGGCCTTTTCAACAGGATTCTTAGGCAGTCATTGTATGCCACATTTAGCTTCCGCATGCTAGATTGTCTATAGTTTGACCACAGATGTGCCGTATATAACGGTGTACAATAAGCTTTAAAAAGTGTCTTTTTCACTTCATCTGTGCATGCACCAAACCTGCGCACAAGCAAATAATTAGATCCCCACATTTATCATGTTAAAAAGAGCTGTGAGCCACTTTTTGATGTGTGGTCCTCTCTTTTTCACTTTGCAGTCTGAAACAGCTGATCTAAAGATGTGACAGAGGTTAAAACGACATGCAGGTGATAAAACCCAAACTATAGTAACATGGATCTTATCACAAAGTTCTTTTTTGTGTGCTTTGACCATGCAACATAGGACCTCATTGAAGAGATCCAACAGCTGTGAAAGATGCGTGCGTGTAGTGAAAAGGTTGATGGCGTGTAGAAAGCCAGGGTTGCGTTTGTGCTTTAGTGACATTAATCCCAGTGACAGCAGCGCCCGCAGCCCGAGCTGTGAAGGACACGGCCTGCAGCCTTCATCACCAAAGGACGTGGATCATCACAGCACAAAGACACAAACCCATTCTGACAAATATCTCAAAATGACACTTGACGTCAATATATACGCCATTTCTCCCTCTGCAAAAAAGTCTTCGCTCATCCAACTTGACAACATTTTGAACACGAATTTACAGCATGATAAAGTTTAGGAAGAGGAAAAGACCTATTGGAAGCAGTAATGCATAATTCAAAATGTGCTTCTACATGAATTTGAACATTTCCTCCGTGTCAATGATGGTATTCATTAAGTATTTAGAGTCACTAATTGCTGTATCTTTGGTGGTTTAAGAATGTAAATGGGATGTCACTCAAACTTAAAAAAAGAAAAAATGTCAGAAGTTTGATACAATATCATCTAAAATTAATACACTACATTTGTGTCTCTCGAAAAAGAGAATACGTTATTATCCGCTTTAAAGGACTGTATGTGAAAAGTTTGTTTAAAAAATGACACATACAGTAGATATTGTATATGTATCCCCAGATAACAGGTTGATGTGTACAAATATTTAGCCTTTTCAGTAAAAAAAAAAAAAAACTATTCTTGTTCCAAAATTACGTTTACGGTTATAAAGCAGGTTTCCCATTCAGAGAGCAGAAGGAGTATACCGTATAACCTAGCTGTAAAATGCCCTATATATCTTTAGATTCAGATTCTTTTTATTTGCCAAGTGCAGTATAAAACCACATTGGAATACATTTGCAAAAAAGGTACTCTGTGTGAGGAGATCAGTTGATAGAGCATTGGCCTTTGAGCCTGGAGGTAGTGAGTTCGAGCCCACCATGGGACCTGCTCCAGCTGCTCCCACTAATGTCTACTGTTGTTGTATCCTTGGGCAAGACACTTGACCCCGCATTACCTGAGGCCCCCGCTGAAAGACCAAGGCTGTTTCACCTCTGACGGAGCAGCCTTCTTCCTGTGGACCCACCACATGCAGAGGATCAGCGAGGGACTGGTGCTATGAGCATTGGGTGGCTCTTATTGCCACCCCCCGACTCAGAAATGGACAAATAAAGGGGTTGAAAATGAATGAATGAATACTCTGTGTGCACCAACAGAATCTTTAACATGTCTTCGCTCAAATTATTTACAGCGTTGACGGATTTTACACGTCCTTCTGTTTGGATTGTGTTTCAATACGCGACACCCGTGGTTTCATATACACATAATAGTCAGAATACAAAGGACCCCACAGCTGCGAGGGCCCCCAGTGTGCGATCTGGGTTTTTTCCCCTTTTTTCCTTTCATCAATTAAGCTTACCACCAGAAATGGAAGCTTTTCAACCTTTCCACCTTATCCTATATTTCTACTGTATACGTACCTGTAGAGAAATTGATACATACCTGTAGAATAGATACAAGCTTTTAAAAAATACTACTTACTACTTTTTACCCAATGGAAGAAAGGTTTGCAGCAGTTACAGCTATATTCACACACAATTTGATCAAGACATAAGATTGTTATATGGGCAGGAGGGCCTGACGTGTGCTTAAGGCCCCAAAGAATGCTAGCACCGGCTCTGCTTACACCTGAAATATGTTATGTATAAACACCAACAAATTGTGAAAGATTTCCGGATATAAAAATTGGACAAGGTCTCTGTATCAAAATAAGACATCCCACAAGTTGTCCCAAGACTTCAAAATATTAAAAAGTTCTTCTACGCATGGCTTGATGTTCTCTTCTTTGTAGATGTCATAAAATTTGTAAATTGGCTGCATTTCTCACAGTGTCATCATCTCAAACCATCTCTCCAGCTCATAACTCACTCTATAAATTGTAGATTGGATTAAGCATAAATCAATTTTCAATACGGCTAACAAAGCGGAAAAAATAATTATGAACGTAAATCAATGGTGGTTTTCGAACGCATTTGAGGCGTGGAGGTGAGAATAAGTTGAGAGGTTGAAGTTAAATTGGAGGGGCTTGTTAAATAAGCTGTCAAAAAGAGAAATGGCAGTTTGCGATGCTAGAAATCTGGAAAAATAATTCATGAGTTTCCGTGTCATGGATCTGAAGATGTTTCAGATGGGCCCGACTACAAACAACTTCAAACGTGAGCCGCAAGAACTCCTCTTCTCCTGCTCGGCTGCCATTCCCCATCCACGTCTACCCGCTTAATCAAAGAAAGTGGAAGGGAATAAAGTAATTAAAAATGAACGTTGCAAAGTGATATTATGAATAAACAAGCGTGTGCAGTGTGGAGAGCAGACAAATTGATCTGGCGACAGCAGTGGTACAGCCCCCGACTCATATGGATTTATTTAACTGCTACTGTAATGACACTAAGGCTATAGGGCCCAAAGAGTATATCTGTTATTCAGAGATTTAGAGTTTTTTTTCTATTGTTGAGGAATCGACAACTTTGCCATCTGAGACGACTGCAGTGATGATTAAGGGCTATACAAAAATTGATTTTATTGAATTGATTTTTTGAGAGAATGGTGTGCCTTAGCCATCCGTAAACTCCGGTCAATTATCATTTCCCAACATGATCGAAATGAGATGAGTACGATGGTATGTTAAGACCAGGCTAGTTTTTGATCAACAATGTGAAAATGCGTCTAAGGAAAGGGATTTTTTAGCATTTCATAAACACACTGAAGGTCAAAAATAAGTAGCATCTCTATGGCAACAAGCAGGCTTCACAAAACACTTACTCGATTCAAACATATTTGCTTCATTATTAATATCTATAGACGTCTCTTGCAGCTTTCAAACAACAAACAATTATTCATTATTTTCAACCCATCGCTGTATCTCTGCCAGACATCTCTCTGGGTTGAAGGAAAAACTGTCTATCCATCTATCTCCCCATTTTGCATCAACAAACTTTTGGAGACACTTTTGACCACAATAACACAGTCAAATCCAAGCCCAAAAGCAAAAGCTGGAATTAACTTTGAAACAACAATGTCCTCAGAAGTGTAGATAAAGACTTGTCTCCACTGGCAGGATGTTCTAGGCATCAGATAAAGGCTTGAATGGGTTTGAAAAGACACGATTATCACAGGGGACGAGATCCAAACAGCAGCTTTTGCGAACGCCATCCCGCAGACTGACCCTCGCTCCCGTTCAAGTACTATTAGAACATCAGAGAGACGCAACTGGAATGAAATGCAATCAAAAATAATACAAAAAGGTAAGTAATTACAGCTTAAAAATACATTCGGTTAGAGCAAAGGGGAAGATCACCCACATTTGTGTCCTATGCTTCGGCTGCTGAGAATGAAATATGTAAAGCCAAAAATGTGAGTTATCAGAGGAAAAAGTTATTAAGGGATTTAATGCAAGTGAAAGCCTGA